TTGTTTCATTACGTTTTGCAGAATTAATATTTACAAATACAGCAATATTGACCGGGAATAACACTAGCTAGGTACTCCATCGGTTTTATTTTATGTGGCAGTTGACTCGATAAAAAGTTTTTAAGATTAACAAAAAAAAACTTTTAGAACTTATAATTTTAAATATGCTTTAAATATTTGTTGCTTTGAAATTATGTCATGAAAGATAAAGTTAGGTTAAACTATTTTAAAATTAAAAAAACATCCGTTTTTCTTAAAACAAACTAATAAGAAAATAATGCTCGCTTGTAAAATGAAACGAGTGAGTACATCACACGGCCATAAGAGATCTCTAATTCTAACTATTAGGTTTAAAATAAGTAAAATTATTTTGATATATATCATATTTTGTTAAAGGGTATTTTTGGTAAGAAGAAAAGTCAAAATTACTTCTGCTTCTGCTTCTAGGAAAAAATTATTTTTTCTGTTTCTCTAAAATTGTTTCTACTTCTTTCCAAAAATATTTTTTTCTCCCAAAAAAGCTTGACCAAACAACTCAAGTGAGAAAAAAAATTTGAAAAACAAAAAATAATTTTGGGAGGGGAGAAGCTTGACCAAATTAGATCGACTTATAGTTAACTCAAATATTTAAAAGATGTAAAAGTGAAAGTGACATATAGACAGGTAGTCAAAGAGCAATGTCTTCAAAGTTCCATATTATATTATTATTATTATTATTATTATTATTATTATTATTATTATTATTTTATTATTATAGGTGCTAAAAGCAAACAAGTTTTGGTGTTGCTTGAATTAATAATTGTCCTTCACTCTTTAGCTTTCATAGCTATACCAATAGGTTTGGGCAACATCTACCCCTTTTTAGCTCTCTACCCAAAGGCCCACAAAAAAAAAAGGTTTTAACGTATTAATCATAACAACAATAACATATTCTATGATTTCCTATTTTGAGTTTAGGAAGAATTGGGTACACGCAGACCTTATCCCTACCTTATGTAAGGTAAATGGAAATTATTTTTGATAAACCCTAATTAATTCAAAAATAATTATAGTCGCTAATTTAAATATAAAAAATATATTAATTATATATAACATATGTATATTATATGTACATTAATATATATATATATATATATATATATTGCCGGCTATTATTGGGCACAACAATATTGTAAATTTCCCCCAAAAAATCACCTACCCCTTCACCCAGCCCATCATACCTCGAGCTAGGTCCAGTTACTATCAATATCTCACCTGCTATCACGTGGCAGTTTCACATACTCACATTCTAGTCTAGTCTCTCATCCACTTGATTTAAAAATTAAAATTACTTACAAAATTTTTATGAGAAAAATTAATTGATTACTTGATAAAAATTATAAATGACTTGCTATAACAAGTCAAACTATGTTAATGTGTAAAGTTTTTTTTACGTTGTTAGTAATATAACTTAAAAACAAATAAAAAATATCACTGCTAATTAACCATTTGTGCTAAATTTATTGAGGTTAACTTCTATATGATGATATTTAAAAGAATTTTATCTTTTAAGTCATCTACTCCACAAAATAATAATCACGAGTAACTGTTTATAAAATTGAGATTAGTAATCTGAAAAACAACACAATTTACTATGTTAACATATATTCTTTATACTGATCAATATATGAATTAGATCCAAATTTAATTTTTTGACAAAATCCCATATATAAATAGGTAACTTTTTTTCTCACTTTCCAATATATACTATTTCAGGATTCCACAACTATTTCCACTACCATTCCATTTCTTCCATTTCCTCCACTGCTTTAGTCATTCAAATGTGTTTTTAGTCAATCCCTAGTCTCTACCCTATCCCCTTCCCACAACTTCATCTTTTCCTGCTTTATTCCTTTCACCAAATACATATTCAATATTATGGAATAAAGCAACACCTAAGTTTCTTGATAACTTGCAAATATAACCAAAACCCTAGCTTGATTGACCAACTTTTTGACACTTGCTACTTAAAAAACCTTATACATGTTTCCCAAAAGCAACCCTTTTTCCTACACCTCACAAGAATTGCTTAAACATTCTTATGCACATGATGCTTATCATCAAAACCCTAATTCAACTTCAATAATAGTAGAAGATCATCCTTTTTTCTTGAATAACTTTCCTTCTCCATTTCTTGATGACCATGAATCCCCATTAAGCCAAATCTTTTCCCATCAACAGCAACAAGAGCCAGAGGCTAACGTGAAAATCATAGAAGACCAGAGTTCAAATCCCAGCAAGAAAATGCAGGCTGAGCCTGTATCACCATCATCAAAGAAGAGAAAACTAAGTGCAAAACCGCGAAGGAGAACAGGAAAAAAGGATAGGCATAGCAAGATTTGCACTGCTCAAGGTGTGAGAGATCGGAGAATGAGATTATCCCTTCAAATAGCGCGTAAGTTCTTCGATTTACAAGACATGTTAGGGTTTGATAAGGCAAGTAAAACTATAGAATGGTTGTTTTCCAAGTCCAAGAATGCAATCAAAGAGCTCTCAAGAAACATCCCACAAGAGATCAATAATAGTATAGGTGATCAAAACAACATAATGAGTGAGTCCCATATATTGGAATGTGAAGATCATAGAAAATTGAGAAAAATGGAGTTAAAAGACAAGGCTAGAGCAAAGGCAAGGGAGAACACCAAAGAAAAAATGATGATCAAAGGCAATAAAAAGGGGAAAGAATTGTATGAAACAAACCCTAAAAATGTTGAAGCCAATTCTCAAACTCTTGAAAATAAATTTGCTAATGTTGGGATCATGGAAAGTTACTTAGGGGGTACAAGTTCCTCAATTAGTTCTATATTTGATTATCAGAATAGTGGAGTCAGAGGAGGCAATATAGATTATTTTGACAATTGTTACATGGGATTTCTTGAAAATTGGGACAGCAAAAATTCCAACAGCAGCTGTAGTACTACAATGACAAACGAGGTACAAATCCCAGTTGCAGGTAATAATAACACTAGCTCAATTTATTTGGACAATTCCAGGTATCAATTTCAGTTTCTGGACCAAGAAAATCATTTCTCCTGCAGACATTAGGACTGGAATAAACTGTAATTTCATATTCTAGATTTTATTGTGTTACTATATCTTATGTTACAACCTGTTTTTTCTCCTCTCTTTTTATTTATTTTTGATTTATGGAATATGGCAAAGTCTGGTATTTTGGACTTTGCTGCTTGAATGTAGAAAGACAGTGTGTTGAAAATAAATAAAAAAGTTTATCTTTGATTAAGTTGGATATTTTTCTTCTGTTTCCAGATTTAATATGTAATACTAGTTGTCTAGTACTATACCATTTGTTTATAGTCGGTACATATTTTCACATATCTAGGTGGGTTTAATTAGGTCAAGCACTGCTCTCGAAGTTGGAGATTTTTCTCTTATATTTTTGAATTTTGTCAGAATAGGATATACTCCTATATTGTTAGTAGCTTAGCTGTAGGAAATGATTGAAGACTTTGAACTTCATAAACTTTGAACACTCTGGACGAATTAATTACGTTCTCAAGCTAGTGAAGCACAACTATATGAATATTCCATTTTGCTTAGGTCCATTTATTAATCATAAGATTCATTAAAGTTAAATTATATTTACTTTGGTCGTAAAATTTCGGCAAAACTCATCCTTAATCTGGATTTGGGGACCATTTAAACTTTGCAAAGCTCATGCAGATGGAATTATAAACTTTGAAGTGTGTATAAATCTTGAGCCGAGGGTCTATTGGAAATAACTAGTCTATCCTCCTAAGATAGGGGTAAGGTATGTGTACACGGTACCCTCCCAGACCCCGCGGTGTGAGATAATACTGGATATGTTGTTGTTGAAGTGTGTATAAATTTTTTTTAGATTAATGTTAGTATATATGATCGAGTGGTTTTCTTATTGATTGATCATATTGTCTAAGTGCAAGGAGAAATGCAATAAGCAGTGAAAACCAATAGCAAATGAATCTCATCAACAATAAGAAACTGCACAAGAACATGAATCATATTCTGAAAGCAAATATTTTAGCTATATATAGACAACTAAACATATGAGAAGAGCTTCTACTTCAAAATTAATTCATCAATTCTACCATAGTTTACANATATATGTTTCAAAAGTGTGTGTGTGAAAACACTAAAATATTGTATTATGATCTTATCATTTCAAAAGTGCAACAAGATCATGCTAAAAATTTTAAAGACCGAATCCATGAAGTTTAATCCTAAACTCCGTAGGTTTTTGGTGTTCATTTTAGTTTCTAGGAGAAATTGTTGTTTAAGATTATGTCATGAAATTTCAGGATCATGATTAGATTTGGTCTAATCCTATTTGTACTTTAGTTACTTAGATCCAACTTGTGTTTGATCTTTGTCCCAAACTAACACCAATTAAGCTACCTTAATATTTCCTAGTTAATAATATATGTCTCAAATTCCATTATCACTTCTTATTCAAACTGCTGTAAGAAGTAAAATCTGTACAGCAGAGTGGTTCCAATGCATGGTTTATTATAGCTTGAATCACAGGTGGAGCCAAGTTTTTAAGCTTATGATTTCAGTTTTAATCATTTTTAAGTAATTGGGTTCTAAATTAATGATTTATATATATTCAATAATATTTTTGTGACAAATATAAAGTTTGAACCAAAACCACTTAGTTCGGTCAAACCCGTTCCCAACGCTATAGCTATGCCCCGGCCTTGAATGAGACTTTAAGATCTTCCTTTCATTTAGTCAAATGCAATTTCTACCTATGAATTGAAGAGACATTAAAGTTTCCTTGTGGTATATTTATTGCTAGTGTTAGGTGCTTCACATTATTTAACATTGACTTTTTCTGTACCCTCAACGTCCAGCAGTATCTTAAGTACTGAGTTGTTATGTTGTCAAAGTAAAAGTACAAAGCTCAAAATAATATTAGCAACATAAGAGAGGATACAATATATTGAATGAAACTTTATGTCCAACTTTTACTCTTTCTTGATTAATTAGAGTAAGATGTGACTTGATGAAATTTTCAAACAAGTTTGTGTATTGGGAATGCTTGCAACTTAGCTTAGTGTTTTTATATCTATTTTAGAGTACTTACTACTGAACTAAGAGAAGCAACAGGAAACAGTTTATACTCTCATCATTTTTCTTGTTTTTTTCTCTTTTGACACGACAATTGCTTAATAGTCTGCGTGACCTGTTGGTCACGGATTCGAGCCGTGAAAGCGGTCATTAATGATTAGATTAGGTTTTCTGCTGTTGTAGTTGCTGTACCTCTGAGCTTATACATATGAGTTCTACAGAACGAGGCTTGACAGAAATACTTTAGTTCTGCATTGTTATATCCACTGATGTGCACAGCAATCAAATACTAGTTGTTATTACTACATATATAGAGTTTGCCTTCAAATCTGCCAAGTGAAACCTTGATTGTACTTTAGTTTCTCCACCAGCTGCTGACAATTTAGGTTTAAATCTTCAACTAATGAGGATAAACCTAACAAGTTGTCTAAACTAATAGTTGGACTTAAGATGTTATAGTACTACTTTTTTTAAGGGGTTGTTTGGTACGATGGATAAGCAAAAATAATCATGAGATAAAAATTTAGTATCGCTTTATCCCTTGTTTGGTTATTAATCCTCAGATAAGTTATCTCAAGATTAAAAATAGTATATGGATAATTTATACCTGCTAGAAGATGGAATAATAATCCCAGGATAAGGTAGTAAAATTGACAATCCCAGAATTAATACAACATATCAAACGGTCAATAAGAAATAATACCCATATAACTAATCTCAGCATAACTTGCCTTCAAACCTAACGATCCCTAAGACTTCAACTAATATTTACTAGCGGTGTAAAAAAAATTTATACTAAGGTTACTTTTTTACTTATTGTAGCATATAATATGTCTTATTTTTTAAGATAATAAATCTCTCCTTTTATTGAGAATTATTTATGAATATCTCTCGAGTGACTTGACAGTATAAAGTTTTCTTGACAGTATAAGGTTTTCGCATATAAGTTAAACTCTTTTTCTTCTTTGTGGCAATAGTGTTCTGAGATACTCGATGATATTTCTGTCAGTTGTACTAAATTATTGGCTGTGTATAACATGAAAAGGACAACACTATTGCATTGGAAACTAACATTTATTGCAACATTTTGGAAAAAGAAAAAACAAAAATCAAAAGTACTACTGTACATAAATAGAAGTCAATCTATTGGGTTGACTATAGTAAATTGAAGTGACCAACTCAATAAATTCATTCAGGTAGAGTCAAAGATCATTCCATGTCTTTCAGCAGCAAAATTTTAATATCCCTATACAATTCCTTCTTTGCTGCAGATGCTATAAATTACTTCTGCAGGCTTCTTACATTCACTCACTTGATAGACCTAAATCCAATAACTTATTTGAGATTATCAGGATGTATTGGGAAGGATTTGGAATGGAATAATATCGATTCGTACAGAACAAGTTGGCTTGAGTGGTGAAATTGATAATTAGCAAATATTCAATTTTATTGACATTTTTTTTTGAGAAGTAAAAATCTATTGACATCTTATTCGAAGTTTCATTGAGGGATTACCATTTATGAACATAGGCAAGTCAATCTAATTTCTTTCTCATTATCTAAAAAAGAATTAAAACTAGATCGTGCATGGTCTTAAAGAATCCTTTTGTATTATGGCGCCGACTAATATCCCGATACACATAACGAATCCTAATATTTGTATTGCGGTGCCAATTAATATCCAGATTTACATCGTGTAAGGCTCATTAAAAGGGGTTGTGCTCAATATTGAATTTTTTTTCATACTCGGGGTTGGAATCCGAGACATCTGATCAAGGGTAGATGGTGAAAGTCCAACATGGGAAATGACATCTCTAGGGGTGTTCACGGTTCCGTGTGGTCGGTTTTTGATTAAAATCAAAACCAAACCAATTTGATCGGTTTTTAAAATTTTAAAACCAAAACCAAACCAAACTAAATACAAACCATCGGTTTGGTTCAGATTGGTTCGATTTTTCGGTTCTTAGCAAGCTAATAATAAGTCTAATAGTAAAACGACACTAGACAACAATCAAAAATAATTTGCTAAATTTATGCTTTTATATATTTCTTTCGGAATTGAAAGTTCATTTACCTATTTATATGAAAAGAATGAACCAAAAAACTAAAAAGTAGACCAAGGTTGTGCGTAGGATTAGAGAATGTGATTTTTTTTCTTCTTATGCAAGATTTGAAACTTATTTACAAAATTAGGATTACTTATAAATTACAGTCAAACCTCTCTATAACAACATCGTTTGTTCCGAATATTTTTGGATGTTATAGCGAAGTGCTGTTATAGAGAACATATATTATAACATAACATAAATATTGGTTTCGGAAAAGCTTGGCTTTTATAGTGAAGTGTTGTTATATAGGGATGTTGTTATAGAGAAGTCTGACTGTATATACAATCCATTATTAATGTCTTAAATTAGAGGATTTAATTACAATATTTTCTTTTTTTTACTCCTCCCCTCTTTCCTTATTTTTCTGTCCCTTTAATTGCTTGTAACATTTCCTTAGTTGTCACGGTCAAGCAATGTATTTGCTGGAACCTACTTTTTGGGCGTGTACTCCTTTTTATCGTTATCATCGAGTAATTGTTGGTCTTACTGCAGTGATATTTTGCATGTTTACATCTTCTTCTTTTTTTTACCTTTACACTTGTGGTCTTATTAGTTACTGCATTATTCTAATTGAATTACTGAGTCATAGCACTGATGCCAATCCATACCAAATCTGAAGCTCACTAAGCTAATTCGACTTAATAAGGTTTCACGAGGAGATTATTTTAAGAAGTGGAAGATATAAAACACTTCAATTATCAACAAGCTCTTTTTCTTTTTATACAAAGTTTGAGATAACAATTGGCTTTTAGTCCAATAAAAGTCCTCCCGGGTAAGAATTTGTAGTTAAAGTCCTTTTAGTTTAGTTACTTATTTGCTCCTTGCTATAAAGCTAAAGGGAAAGAAGAGCAATGATCATCACCTAGCAGTATGAATACATGTTTATCCCGAAACAAATCTAATATTATCGCATACAGAAAATGAAATTGACCCGGTTAGTTGTCTAGGATTAAGTGATAGCAGCAATATACAAATTTATGGTATAACAACATAAAAATTAAAAATAAATTTTATA